CATAACATAAGAATAAAAAGGGGAAACCCCAGAATACTACCTTGGGGAACTCCACTTTTTTTAAATGGGGCGGGGGTTTTGGGTTTATCCTTTTTGGGTTTGTTTTTGAAAATTTTTTCCCTTTTTCTAAGGTAGGACTTAAACCAATCTACAGAACCTATCCCGATAGCTTAAAGTTTCTTTACAAAATAATTTGGGTTGACAGTATCAAAAGGCCTTTTGAAAGGTCTAAAAACCTTTAACCTATGGGGGTTCCCCTTTGACTTTTCTTTTCTCGGGTAATCCATAAATTTAATTTGGGGAGGTTTTCCGGTTGAGTAAGATCTTCAAAAGCCCAAATCAAAAAGTTTATGGAAAATGTTGTTGCCCTTTAAAGGGTATTTAAACCCTACTTGAAGTAAAACCGCCCTTTTCTGGGAATTTTGGTTTTAATACTAAGTAAAAACAACAGGCCTAAAAGTTCCCGACACAACCTACTTTTTTTCTTGAAAAATAGGAGAAACTCTGGCCCCCCTTGAACCCCTCCAAAAACGGTATTAGGGGTGATTGATAAAATTTTTATTATGGGGAGCAAAAAAGATTGACATTCAGAGCACCATCTTTTGGAACTTTACCGGATGTTTCAGGGCCTTGTTTCTTAGTTGGGTTTAACCTATTTTATTTTCTTTTGGGTAAAAGTCATGAATACACTTACAGTTGACATCTTTTGGGGGGTTCCCTTTTTAAATTGGTAAAGAAATTTTTAAAACTTATCAATCGGTTAAAAGGGTTTTTGGGAGGGCAGCGGAAATTTTACTTACTAGTGTTGATGCCACAAAAGTGAAAGTAGAATTAAAGCAATTTGCCACCTAGATTTTTCCCGGGCAACCTCTTTAAACGATAGTGAGAAACTATGTTAACCTATCTACTGGTTTAAAGGCTATACCCCAACTGTTTTAGTTGTTCCAAAAGCTTTCGGGGTTTTTCTTATACTTTTTTAAATTTTTTTGACAATATGCCTTTGCCCCTTTCGTTCCTTCTATAAGCCCTCTGTACCTTTTCCCTAAATTTTTGGGGAATTCTTTAGTGCTGCAATATCCTGTCTTTTTTGTTTTTAAATTTTTTTAGCAGCGGTCTCTAAATTTCATTTTAAAACTAAAAACCCCAGTATTAAAAGCGGGCTCAGTTCTTCTTTTAAAATTCTAACCTCTTTAACGGTCAAAAATTATCAAGGAGGGTATTGAACATTTTTTTGAATTTTTTCCCCGGGCACGTTTACGCCCGTGAAACCCTTGTTATCTCTTTCCAGTCACAATTGTGAAAGCCTTTTTTAACAGTTTTTTATTTCTTATTTCTAGTTGAACCTCATTTTTTTTGGTCCGGGTGTGGGCTTATCCTATCCCTAGTGTTTTTTCCCCCGGGGGCAAAAAATTGAAAAAAAGATCACAAAGACCTGTGGAAAATTAAACGCCTGACTGACATGTTCTCAGAGCGTACAATTTTGGTCAGTTAGGGGGGCTGAAAAAACTGTGTGATCCGGGTTTGGGGTTTTTAATTATTGAGTGTAACCCATTTAAAAACCCAGAATTTGCTTATACCTTTTTCACCGCCCTTATTTTGCTGCTGAAAACGATAATTTAAGTCGCCCCAGTATTAAATTTTTTCGCAATTGTTTTCAAGTCCGGACAATAATCTGGAAAAGTCTTTTAAAAACTGGCCCCGGGTGGGAAATTTCGGCAACTATTCCTACTAAGAATTGGGGTTTTTTTTTTTGGGAAGCAGCACTTCAAGCCCCCAAAATCCCAGTTTAATGTTTTTTAAATCCCGGGCCCGGGGTTTTAAAACTAAGTCATTTCTAATGTAGGGACAAACTCCACCACCCTTTCTGTTCCTACCCAAGGTTTTATATTTTAAAAACCTTCTATTTTGGGCCTTTGTCGGGCAGTTTACCTACATCCAACCAAGATTCAGAGGGTGGTTATAAAATGCCGCCCTAATTTTGTTAGCTTTGAAACCTAAAACCCCTGCCCAAATTTTGGACGAAGTGATCGTTTCGTTTTACATGAAAAAAAGTGAAGACCTGTTTTTTATAAAAAAAATTATAAAAATCAAAATATTTGGGAAATGGGTTTATTTGTTTTTTAAAATTAGGGAAATCAATTTTCATCACGCTAAAAGGGGAAATGTGCCAAAGTGCATTTGTAAAACACAAAATAATTCTGGGACCGTTGCTAAAAATTTTACTTTCATCATCATGTACCCCCCCCTTACACATTTTACATAAGGTGCCCTTTTTTTGTTTTTCTGCTTTCTTTTGTACAAATGTATGCACTTGGGTTTTGGGATGTTTTTAGATAATAATGGCTGTATTGTTTTCCCCTTGACCTATGTATGCATTACAAAATGGGGTTAAGGTTATCATTCCTAGCTCAAACCGTCATTAACACCGTCTTTATCTGCTGTTTTTTCCTCTGCACAATTTTTTAGGTCCTGGATTTAATTTTTATATCCCAAATTTTAAAGCGCTACAATAAAGCTTTTTGCCACTGTTTTTTTTTTTTTGGGGAAAACCGTGTTGCCATACCTTGCGGGGATAGTGGGCATTTACTTTTTTTGGTAGGGGTGGCAACTGTTGGGCTTTTTTCTGGGCCAGGGCGCTTTTATTTTCTCCATTCACCTTTTCCAGCCCCCCTGATGATTTCCCTTTTTTCATGGAATTGAAAAGAAAGATAAATATAATTATAGCCCTGACCCCCCCCAATGCCTGCCATTTTTCACTCTTTCGCTCTTTTTCTCCTATACAATAACAATTTTTTTCTCCTTTCCAGTCCCCACCAGTACCCCTAGTACTGCTTTTGCAGTCACCACTGAAATTTCTAGTAAAATTTTTTTTTTTCAAAACCCTCTTCACTGCTTTACTTTTCCCTTAACTTTACAAACCCCCCTTTTAGTTAAAACCCCCTTTTTACACACTCCCCTTCCCGCCCACTTCACAGTCCGGTTCACCCCCTTAACTTTCCCAACTCCTTTCCCTTCTTGTAGCAGAAAGGTTTTAAAACAATGGTTTTTATCCTTTTCCCAAAACCCCCCCATTTTTTCCCTTTTCGGGGTTGTGGGTTTGGGTTTTCTGCCTGGGCCTGATCTGCTGGCCCCGGCCATTTTTAAAACAACCCGAGGGAAAAACGCCACCTACAAACCCGACTTTCCTTGATTTAAGATAATTTTGGGGTTTTTTTGCTATAAATTTTCTCACCGTAAAAACTGGTCAGCTGAATATAGGGGCTACTAAAACATTAACCTTGACTGTTTTTAAATATTCACCCTTTTTTCCCACGACGGACTGAAGGGGTTTAAAAATCCATAACCTTGGGGTTTGGTTTCTGTTAAATTTTACTAGGCCCCCCTGTGTTTCCCTCTGGTTAGGACTGGTACAGGTGATATATGTGGTTTCAAAAAATGATGCCTGTTTAAAAAGATGAACGTCAATTTAAAAATTGAAATTCACTTCGCTAGTTTGGGACGTCTGGGATTTGCTAATTTTGGATGCCAGTCATCCCCTGTTTAAATGCTCATTTTTTTCCCCCGTTTGGGAAAAGAGGAAAAAAAATCCTACAACCTGTCAAATTTTCCCTTTGGGGTTTCGTTGATTTATTTTGATCAGTTTTCTGCCATGTTGCCCTTCCCGTTGAACACTGGTGCAGTTGATATGGAGGTCAGTTATTTCATTGTAGTGGAAAACGTCTCGTGTCTGGTTCACGTCTGGCAGCAGGTCTGGTACTTGAATGCCGGTCCCTCTTTTGTCATATTTAGTCCATTTCGTTGTCGTCACCATCAGTTTTTATGTCACTATATGTTCCTTGCATGTTCCTATGTACACTGTTATTCTTCACATCAAGATAGAGTTAAACTGTCTGTTTTCTCATCAGTGTTTTTGAGAACTTTACGTATTTGTAGTCCAGAGTTCGTAGATGAGGAAATATCCAAAATTTATGAAATAGCTAATGATTTGAAATACCCAAGAAACGTAATTGATAAATCTTTTAAAATTGCTAGAAATGCTTTTAACAATCCAAAAAAGGACAAACAGCCTTATTCAACTAAAAATATGTTGGTTCTCCTTTACCATGAAAACTTGGTTGATATGCCTTCTCTTCTTAAGGACTTTTAATATTAAAGTTGTATTTAAAAATCTTGATACAGTAAAAAAAACTTTTGATAAAGAATTCCCCCCAAAATGCTGACGGATGTGTCTTTAAGATTCCTTGTAAAATTTGCGATAAAGTTTATTACGGTCAAACTGGTAAAAATCTCGAACTTAGATTAAAAGAACATAAATATAACATTAGAACTGGACAAGATTCCAATGCTCTATTTATTCATGTGAGAGATTTTAACCATCCAATTGATTTTCAAAAAGTTGAGAAAGTTGTATCAAACAAGTCCATGGTCGACGGGAATATAATTGAATCTTGTTTCATAAAAAGCAGTTTTGACAATATGAATATTTCCTTTGGTTTCTATAAATTTGATCCATTTATAATTAATAGAATTTGGGAAGAATTTAGTAATACATTAGACAGATAATAAATGTTAAAATTCTTAATTCTTGGATAGAATAGTTTGTTCATGGGTTGCGTGAAGGACCTGTCTAGTTGGGCCAGCGGGTCTGCTGCAGTGTTCCCTTTCTTATGAGTCGCGCATCAGGTGTTGCTTTGTTGTGGGATGTGATAGTGAGGTGTGGGCTAGACCCTTTATATGCCTTCCTTTGACGCATCACTTTTATTGTTCCTTGATAATGTGAGAAGTCATGAAAGCGCTTGGAATTTCTCTATTCTTTCACAGTGGTTCTTTTGCATATTCTGAAATCACCTGTTTAATGTGATCTTATTGCCATATATATATAATATATATATATATATATATATATATATATATATAATATATATATATATATATAATATATATATTTTATATATATATATATATATATATATATACACATATCTTATTTTTTCCCACAGGTCGTCAGCCAAGACCATTTACGAAATATCTTATTGCTTCTCTGGAGTTATAAATTTGGCAATAACATTTGTAGTTAGCAGCGTCGTCTCTGTGTTGACTGGTGAGAATAAAAGGAAATTTTACAATTTTCTATAAGCCTTCAAAACGTATTATCCCTTCATAGAATCAATACAAATTTCGCATTTTAAAATCTGCCAAAAATAATTCTCCTGGAAAATTTTGATGTTAGGAAATATGTCCCTGTGAGGCCAAAAATTATTGTTCAGTACTCATATCATTTAATGTTTAAATCTCCATATGAGATAAATTCTTTTTTCTATGTTTACAAAGTTAACATTTCTAACAGAATTTTATGTTACATATCTTTTGAGTTTTCAAATATTGTTCATTAAATTGAGATAATATAGGTTCATTTCTTATTTTTTTTTCTATGTCGTCAGTTCACTTAGCGCTAGACTAAAAAATCACTGATATTCCCAGGTGTAGTTCATCCGAAAGCTGAAGATGGCGTTGTGTGTCGTGTGTGTGGCAGAATCTACCTGAGACTGTGGCAGTTGTTCAGTAATCACAATACCTGCACCTGAAACACTTTTATGAAGAAGAGTCAATAGAAGCTTAAGAATTTTAGCAGCAGTTCCTACCTGGAGTTTACCTGGAGAGGGTTTCGTGGGTCAACGCCCTCGCGGCCCGGTCTGAGACCAGGCTCTCAGAGTATTGCCGTCATCACTTTCAATAAAAGTCTCCAGACAGTTGTTACACATCAAGATTATATTACAATTATCACTTTATTTGTTTTAATTTTAATCGTTCTGGGATGTTAGGCTCCTCAAGGAAGGTTCCTTGATGCTAGGCCCCTCAAGAAAGGTTCCTTGATGTTAGGCCCCTCAAGGAAGGTTCCTTGATGCTAGGCCCCTCAAGGAAGGTTCCTTGATGCTAGGCCCCTCAAGGAAGGTTCCTTGATGCTGGAGTTCAGGGAACTGAATGTGTGCTTCAGTTCCTTGAATTAAGCCTGAATACCTCCCATCCCCCCATAGGCACTGTATAACCCTACGGATTTAGCGCTTCCTCCTTGATTATAATAATAATAATAATAATGGGATGTAAGGCCGTGTTATGGGCCCAAACAAGCAAAGATTTCAGGACCCAGTCTGGACAAAGAAAATTAATGAATTTGTTTTAATATTAACACATCGGCCGTCTTCCACCAAGGCAGGGTGGCCACCAAGGCAGGGTGGCCACCAAGGCAGGGTGGCCACCAAGGCAGGGTGGCCACCAAGGCAGGGTGGCCACCAAGGCAGGGTGGCACGAAAGAGAAAAACTTTCATCATTCACTCCATCACTGTCTCGCCAGAGGGGTGCTTTACACTACAGTTATAAAACTGCAACATTAACACTCCTCCTTCAGAGTGCAGACACTGTACTTCCCATCTCCAGGACTCGAGTCCAGCCTTCCAGTTACACAGAATTCCTTCATAAATGTTAGACTGTTTAAATTTCAACAGCCTGTCAAGTCCTAAAATCCATTTATCTCCATTCGCACCTCTAACATGCTCATGCATGCTTGCTGGAAGTCCAAGCCCCTCACACACAAAACCTTTACCCCCTCCCTCTAACCTTTCCTAAGTCGACCACTACCCTGCCTTCCCTCCACTACAGATTTATACACTCTCCAAGTCACTCTGTTTCGTTCCACCCTCTGTACATGTCCAAACCTCAATAATATCCTCTTCTCAGCCCTCTGGATAATACTTTTAGTAACCTCGCACCTCCTGATTTCAAAACTATGGATTTTCTGCATTATATTGACACCCTCAGACATGACATCTCCACTGTCTCCAGACTTCTCCTTCTTGTAACATTCACCACCCATGCTTCACACCCATATAAGAGCGTTGGTATAATCATACAATCACACATTTAATTTCCTACTTTTACATACCCTACCAAACTCATCCACCAACCTCTGCAACTTCTCTTCAGAATCTCCCAAAAGCACAATATCATCGGCATAGAGAAAATGTGAGAACTCTCACATTGTTTTAGATTCTTTATCTATAAACCCCGCGGATTCACTTCTCTTACATCCCCATCTATAAATACATTGAACAACCACGGTGACATCACTCATCCTTGTCTAAGGCCTACTTTTACTGGGAAATAATCTCCCTCTCTAAACTGAGCCTAACTATCCTCGTAAAAACTCTTCACTGCTTTAAGTAACCTACCTCTTATTCCATACACCTGCAACATCTGCCACATTGCTCCCCTATCCACCCGATCATACGCCTTTTACAAACCCATAAATGACACAAAAACTTCTTTATCCTTATCTAAATACTCATCGCTTATATGTTTCACTGTAAATACTTGGTCTGCACACCCCCTACCCTTCCTAGAGCCTCCTTGTTCGTCTGCTATTCTGCTCTCCCTCTTACTCATAATTCTATCAATAATAACTTTACGAGGTATACTCAACAGACTTATTTCCCTATAATTTTTACACTCTCTTTTGTCCCCTTTGCCTTTATACAAAGGAACTATGCATGCTCTCCGCAAATCCCTAGGTACTTTACCCTCTTTCATACATTTATTAATTAATAGCACCAGCCACTCCAAAATTATATCCCCATCTGCTTTTAACATTTCTATCTTTATCCCATTGTTACAAAAAAACGCAATTTCTAATAAGCATAGAGATCTCCAGTGAATACTAGAAAGGACTGCCCTTCTAGCATTCAGTCTGTTACTGGGTTTTCGTAACAAGTAGTCAGTATCCTGGTCCAGTTATCCAATGGAATTCAGTAAGAATTATTAGTGCTTCAGGATTACAACTGGTAGGTTACTAACTAGAGAAATTAAAATTTAATAAATTTATTAACAATCAAGATGTCTAGGAGCATATTATCAAATTAAAATAAATTAATCAATATAAACAAATTAATAATAATCACTTCTCTCGTGTACAGTAGTATTGTGCTGAAGGCACATATCACATTCTATATATATATATATATATATATATATATATATATATATATATATATATATATATATATATATATATTAATATATATATATATATATAGAAACAAGTTTGTTTGTATGTGTGTAAGTGCTCTAAGTAGTTCGCTATGTCTCACGACTCGACTAGACTTGAACCAGTGACTGACAAAGTCCTCACATCAACTAACTTCTTGACCTCCTGGCAATCAGAACAGCTTGTTTGAACAATAAATGACCACTATGGCGAATAGCAATATAACAAGCAACTGCCACACAGAATCAGGATCAAGGAGATAATATAATGACACTAAGTAGGGACCATCTGCAGATCCTCCACAAAAGTCACCAAACTCCCATACTACTGAATCTAAGTTCAGCATAAGAAAATCACCGACTGTGACAGTACACAGATACCAGTACAAGTTAGGTCAGAAGCTACAGCTCATGATCTCAGTAGTAGTAACCAGTTACCAGTAACCAGTGTACCAGTAGTTGACTCATTACCAACCGTCTCTGCCTGAGTCACTGTCTGAATCATATTGTGCTGACCATAGCAGTATTCAAAGACCCCCTCACATATGGGTACTGTGGGCGGCCAGTCAGTGTTACGAGTGTGAGCAAGGAGACAAGGTTACGGCTGTAAGGGCGCTCCCCACATTATCTGTAATTATACGTACTACCAGCCTACGTGAGTATTACTTTACCCAATCCACGTGTTCGAACTCCCACATGATAATGACCTGAGTTGCTCAGAGTGTCTATGAGACACACAACCTCAGTACAACGTCGAAAATCACTAAGTCTAGACAATGTTCTGTGAACAGAATTCTACGGAACCAACAACAAGAAAGCGACAGAGACGATCTTCCAACAAGGGCCAATAAGGGAGAGTTAGGCACATCTTATCATGAATATGTCCAACCACCAAGAGAGTCTAGCCCAGACTGACTACTCCAAGCGAGGTGTGAACAACCCTCGTCGATCACGTGATTACTCCATGGACTGTTGCTGCCAAGCAACACCGAGAAGCCGGCAGAGTAACGAGCCATGAGCGATAATTACAGTAGTTAGACAATCAAGACTTGAACTATAAGCACTGAATAATATGTGAATGTTACATCCTACCTAACAATATAACTAAGCCAAATAATAATATAAAGCAATATATTTACGATTTAGCTATTATCGCAAATATAAGCAATATAAAGTTATATGAAAAGGTAATATACATTATATACATTGTGACCCATTCAGGGGTTGCAACACCTATCAATCCCAGCTGCCTTACCCCCTTTCATTCTACCCACTGCCTCATGAACTTCCCCCACACTCGCAACTGGCTCTTCCTCACTCTACAAGATGTTATTCCTCCTTGCCCTATACACTAAATCACAGCTTCCCTATCTTCATCAACATTTAACAATTCCTCAAAACATTCCCTCCATCTTCCCACTGCCTCTAACTCTTCATTTAATAACTCTTCTCCCATTTTTCCCCCGGCTTCCCAACTTATTAACCACTTAAAAAATTTTCATATTTTCAAGAAAATTTGTTTTATAATATTTCACCCACTCTCTCATTTGCTCTCTTTTTAATTCCTTCACCACTCTCTTAACCCCTTTTGTCTCTCCTATATTTTCCCCCTTGCTCACTTTTTCTTGTTAAAACCCTCATATTCTAACTTTTTCTTCTCCGTCTTACATCACATTTGCCAAATTTACTTCAACCCCCCCACACTACCTCCTGAACCCCAAACTCTGCAGGGGGCTCATGTTTGCTATGGATTCTAATACATAAAAAATGACGCTGCAACAGTCTTAACAATCACCCGGACATTTACCCTTGACCCGTTCCCAATGCCCCCTCCCACTAAATTTTTTTTTAAACAAAACAGGACAGAGGAAGAAACCTCATAAAACATTTCCGTGAATAAAAAAAAAATCAGCAACAATTAAAGGAAAATTTACTAGGTCAGTTCGACCTCTACACTTTCTCGGAGGAAGTGGAAGGCTAATAGTAATTTTCTGGTCATTCGGGCTTGTCCACAGGGTCGCCTCTCCTATCTCTCATAAAGTCCTAGATTCCTAAAGATTATGTTAATTATAATTGTTAAATTGATACAAACATATATTTATTTACCTTTTTCATCAGAAGTTGATATTTGCATCCAGGAACAACGATACACCTTAAATTATATTGCCAGATGATGAAAGAATTTTCCCCATAATTTACAAAAAAAAAAAAATCAAATTTAAAGTAATGAAGATATTATACTTGTCAATTTTTATTTATAAATTATTATATACTATTTTACCAGTTGCTGAAATCAAAATAAACTATAGATATTCGAGGTGAACTATACATATTATTATTTTTTCTTATTTATTAACACATCGGCCGATTCCCACCAAGGCAGGGTGGCCAGCAAAGCAGGGTGGCCAGTAAGGCAGCGTGGCCACCAAGGCAGGGTGGCCAGCAAGGCAGGGTGGCCACCAAGGCAGGGTGGCCCGAAAAAGAAAAACTTTCATCATTCAATCCATCACTGTCTTACCAAAAGGGTGCTCTACACTACAGTTATAAAACTGCAACATTAACACTCCTCCTTCAGAGTGCAGACACTGTACTTCCCATCTCCAGGACTCAAGTCCGGCCTGCCGTTTACCCTGAACCAGTTCATAAATGATACCATGCTCACACTCCAACAGGACGTCAAGTATTAAAAACCATTTGTCTCCAATCACTCCTATGAAACACGCTCACACATGCTTGCTGAAAGTCCT